TGTTGTATTTGCAATCTTTTGTGAAATGACCAGCGTTTTTGCTGCACATGGCACAATAGGGTATCCTCTAGCTTCTTCCCCTTCCTCTGCCTTTGCGTCCACCATGGGGACCTCGTCCTCCTCGCCCGCCACGCAGAGCCTGATCGAAACTTTGGTGCTGGTGGTTTGGCATCGGCCTAGGGAAACTTTGCTCTGCTGGATTATGCTTTGTTTGTTCTTGTAAATTATTGATTGCACGAAATTGTCTCATGTTTCACTGCCCTAGGGTTTGCGATGGTCTGGGGGCTCTTCATGCTTGCCTCCACAAGTTACATGTTGCCTTTCGCTTTTTTAGGTCGTCGTCTAACCTGGCGTATTGCCTCATTACCTCAAACAATTATTTGATAGATGTGTGGTAATTTCGGGCGAAATGTGCAGCACACTAGCCAATGGCTAACCCTTTGACTGCTGCTGCTATCATAGTTTCCTCTAGAGCATTCGGCACTTGTGCTTTGATTTGGATAAGTCTCTCTAAGTAATTGGATAGGGACTCGTCATCTCGCTGTATACAGTTGAGCATGTCCCTTGTGGTTTCATTCCTAGGTGATATCCCTAGAAAGTGGATAGGAGTTTCGCTTTGACCTAGCTCCATGAATGGATGGAAAGGGGCTTCAATGATGTGTACCAATCATGGGTGATATCCTTGAGTGCCATGATTAGAGACTTGGTGAGAGTCTGCGCGTCTCCTCCTGCTGAGGCGACGGTGGTTTCATATCCTACGATGAATTTTCTTGGGTTTGTCTTTCCGTTGAAAACTGGGATACGTGGCTTGTAGCCCAGTGGCCATGGGTGCAACTGAAGCTCCTTCGACAAAGGTGAGGTGGCATTGAATGCTTCTTCGTCTTCATCTAACAAGATAGTGTCTGGTATTATGTTTCTGCCCCGACTGGCGCCACCGCCAGCTGCTGCACCATGCAGATCTTGGATTTCACGTACCAGCCTTTATCTCTCCATCTCTGCTTGCCTGATTGCCCGCTACGTTTGTTCTGCTCTATTTCATGCGGCGGCCTGCCTCAACAGCTACTCCTTTTCGTGCTGTAGCCTAAGGATGTCTTGCTGATACTGGTCCAACTTTTTTAGATCTTTTGCTTGTTCGGTGATTTCGCTGTCTTCGTCTTCTTCTGTTACTTTGTTTTCGTCTTGATCGATTTGGACTTCCTGAACCACTCCTTCAGGTGTTTCCTCTCACCTGCGAGGAGGCACGGTACTATCTCCCACCACCCGAGGGGCTGGTGGTTCCATCACTGCCGTGTCATCTCGCACGGCTGTCTGTGCGGCTGCGAAAGCTGCCACCTTGGATGCTTCCGCCTTGTCTGCCAGTAGCTTCATCGCTTTGTTCTTTGGTGCCATGATAAGCTTGAGCAACAACCACGGTGGGCGCTAATGTTGTTTGAGGCCCAAACCTTTGAACACCAGGTTGCCGCACAAGCAAACTCTTGAAATGGGACAAGACGAAAAGATGAACACAAGCGGAACAAGATGGTGGATTTCATTCAACTCATGTTCTCCTCCTTTTACATCACCCACTTGGGGGCTATTTATACATCCCCGTAGGCTTTTTATGGGACAATAGTGCCCCTGCAACTACTACACATTCAGAGAATATTCCCTATCGTAGTGGGCTTGTTCGCCATTCAGAGTCCCCGCCTGCCTCGGGTAGCGCCGACCTAGGGAGGGCCAACCGGCCTCGTCTCTTGTCTCCCTTCTAACCGACCGCGTAGGCCCCTGGTGGACAGACACTGTCGGCCACCTTGAAGCGACTGACCCTCTAACCGACGAAACCTGCAATGATAGTCAAATGAGCAAACGCCAGCTATTCGCCTAAGCGAATAGCCTAACTCCGACCTCACCCCTGGCCATGTAAGTATAAGTCGAGTCCTTCCTTCTGCCTTGGCGTGAAGGGAGGGCTCAAACGAGAACCAGAACTATTGTATCGCAATGCGCCGCGCCCATTTTGCTCGAACAAGATGAGAAACTCGTTCCATAGGTTCCCTTCATTCCGCTGCACCATGCTTGCCTTTTTGCATTAAGCGAAATGCTTGGCGCATCGATGTGTCCAGGTTGCTCAGGTTCTCGCTGCTCATCATTTTGCCAGCGTGAAATGCTATCAGCGCTGCGCTTGGCATAGCTAGGGAGGTGAATGAGCTCCATGGGGTGCCCAGAGGTGCGGCATGCCTCCAACACTCATCCAAGTTTGGAGGAGGCCTTGGATCATCATCATCCTATTAAGATTAACCCAAGAGCCCCTAATCCAAGAGAAATCATGTCAATGAATATCATAGGCATGGAATAATGGAGATAAAGTTCTCACCTATAGACATTCATGAGACATCAACCTTGGATCTTGAAATAGAAAATTCTACCAATGAGCATGGAAGCTACTTCATGAACACCTCATCAAATTCATGCTCATATGAGAAATCTCTTGAATTAATTGGTCTCTCAACTACCACACATGACATCTTCAATCCCCTCATACTTCATATTCATAAAATTTTTGAAAGAGTGGTCGTAAATACATTTGTTTATCATAAATATTGCAAATCTCGTTGTGTGTTAGCATGAATCTTGAGATAGGTATACAAAGGTTGGTGCTGGAGGGAAAACCACTTCATCAACATGAAGCGCAATCCAAAGGTTTCCCAAGGACGAGCTTTTGTCCTAAAACAAGCACTTTCGGGAGATAACCCGAGCTTTTATATTTTTTCTTTAATAAAATTTGTTTTTTTAAAAAATGATGCATTTGTGAAATGAGCATAGAAATATAATTGTGAAAATATTCCTTTGAGTATTTTTGTCACTAACCATTTCAGGTTTGAAGCAAAAAGAATGAATGATACAAACACAAGGTACAACCAACCAATCATCAGGCAACATTGAATCACATTCATGGAAGAGTTTTATCATCCAAATTTGATTTTGTGTTTGCAAAATTCATGTATCGGGGATAAACTTCTCTGAAAAATCTTATGCCATGTTGCTAATCTTGGTTGTCTCTACCTTTAGGCTGTGCTCAACTTGCTAAAAACCATGATCATGTAAATAAATACTTAATAATTAAATTAATCATTATCCTTTGATTTACCGCACATGTTCTTATTTCAATTTTGAATGAATCTCTTTATTCACTCATGCTACCTTTTCTACACTACTATGTTTTGATTTGGAGTATTAATTGAATATGATTATTGGATCAAAACATGCTTGTATAGAATTTGATTGTATCTGTACACTAACCCATGCAGGAAACTCTTAATTCAATTTGGGTAAGTCATGAGATGAATTCAAATCAGAGATGAAGCAAGGCACATGATGAACTCCAATAGCTTTGCACAAAGAAGACACAGCTCATTCATCATGGAAGTGAATTTCGGGGCGACATAAATTTCGGGGAAGGAAAACGTGGGGACATAAATTTTCGGGGCGACATGAACGAACGATGTCCACGGAAGTGAATTTCGGATGACGTGGCCTATCTGCCCTGCCGCGGTTAACCTTAACAGCTTGAACTTATCAGCCTAGACCAGTTCGCTTGAACTTATCAGCCAACTTATCAGCTAATCTATAGTGTTTTTTTTTCTTACAACAAAACAGCTTCAGCCAGCTTATCAGCCGGCTTTAATACCAGCCGAACAGGAGTTGGCAAATTCTTCTTGGTGCACTCACACCGTCCGTGAGGTCTCACGTACGTACCTGTGAAGCTTGGGTTTTTGACAGGCATGGGGAAGGCAGGGCACGGAGGATGAGAGCTTGTCACGCAGTATTTTGCAGTAGCAGAACATTGTGATTGTGTAGCCCGCAGCTGCAGGTCCTGGTATTCGCAACTCGGGGGCTAGTGTTTTACCTGGTTTTCAGAAGGGCAGAGACACAGGCCACAGCAGAAACAACGAAAAGAAGAAGAAGAAGACGCGTACGTGCTGTGCACGGCTGCTGAATCCCGATTCCGGAGCCGGCGAGCCGCGACTGAGCTCTCGATTTCAACGGGTTTCTCAAGCATCTCGCCGTCGGCGTACGAGTGTAAACGTATTGAAAATGTTATGTGACGCACGTCAAGAATGAACTGCCTCCGAGAGTCCGAGGTCTGAGCAGCTGAGAACGTACGAAGGGGTCGCCGGTCAAGAACCCAGGTCCAGGACGGCAATCCGGGTACTATGGGCGCGAATCGCCCGGACACGGACACGGTGCAGTCTTGAGCGCGACGCGTCGTGTCGTGTGGCCCTGCCGGTTCTGTCCGCGATTGGATCCGTGCGCAGTCATCCCCACCCAAAATTCTTGTCGTCGGTAATGTAACGTGTACAGTAATCTCTATCTGTTAGATTGGACGGCGCCCTGACAATACAAATAACCGAATCCGATGCACGATGCTGGCCATGGGATAACTCCGTTAACGCATGGCATCTCGATGGTGGTGTGCTAGCTACAGCTAGGGACGTGCCGTTACTGCCACTGCGTGGACGCGTCGTTATCTGTCCTATTCGGATTGCAATTTTTTGGACTTGCCTTGCAAGGATGGGAATGGAACGCTCAAAAGCACCAGCGTTCGTGGACACATTCCGCTAGCTCACATTTCAGCTGGACACGTCGGTCTTCTTGCAAATGGACAAGAAGAACAACTGAAGTGAAGTTACTAGCAATATCTACTTGGAAACCAACGGGGGCACACACGGTTTTATTAACCAAACCGAGGCCCTGGCACCGCCGGAAATGAAATCCGCCGTCGCAATCGCAGGCCATTCCCGTGGACGACCGCCGCCGTGTCCACGCCTCAGTCCGATCCCATCCAACGCAGCGCACCCAGTCCGACTCCGACGGGTTAGCCCGGCCCCCTCCTATATAAACCCTCCGGCACGCTCTCACTCCACGCAGCTCACGAGATGATCACTCCCACTCCCACTTCCACTCCGGACGACACCGATCACACGCTGCAACAACGCAAGCAAGAATCCGCGGCGAGGGCGAGGATGGAGGCACCACCCGCCACGGCCACGGGCGACCTCATCCCGGGCCTGCCGGAGGACATGGCACGGGAGTGCCTGCTGCGCGTGGGGTTCCAGCACCTCCCCACGGCGCGCCGCGTCTCGCGCGGGTGGAAGGCGGAGCTCGAGTCGCCGTCCCACCACCGCTCCCGCCGACGCCGCGCGCTCCTCGCGCTCGCGCAGGCGCAGCCCCCGCTCGCCGGCTCCGGCCCGGCCCGCAAGTACGCCGCATCCAGCGCCGGATACTCCTTCCGCCTCGTGCTCCATGACCCGGCAGCCGGCTCGTGGGCGCCGCTGCCTGCTCCCCCCGGCGCGCATGGGCACGACCACGGCGGCCGCCTCCCGCTGTTCTGCCAGCTCGCCGCGGCCGGCGAGGGCGGCCCGGCGGCGAAGCTGCTGGTGCTGGGCGGGTGGGACCCGGAGACGTGGGCGCCGACGGCCGCGGTGCACGTCTACGACTTCCTCTCCGGCGTGTGGCGGCGCGGCGCGGACATGCCGCCGCCACGCCGGTCCTTCTTCGCGTGCGCGGCGGTCGGCGCCAACGTGTTCATCGCGGGGGGACACGACGAGGAGAAGAACGCGCTGCGGTCGGCGGTCGCGTACGACGCCGAGGCCGACAAGTGGACGCCGCTCCCGGACATGGCGCGGGAGCGGGACGAGCCCAGGGGCGTCTGTGTGGGCGGGAGGTTCGTGGTGGTCGGCGGGTACCCGACGGAGGCGCAGGGCCGGTTCGCCGGCTCCGCGGAGGCGTTCGACCCGGTCACGTGGTCGTGGGGCCCCGTGCAGGAACGGGTGATCGAGGATGGCGCGTGCCCGAGGACTTGTTGCGCCGCGCCGGCCGCCGCGGGGAGCAGGATGTACATGCTCCGCGACGGATGCATCATGGCGCGGGACGCCGAGGGCGGCGGCAGGTGGCGAATGTTGGCGCGCCTGCCGGAGGACGGGCGCGCGGCGACAACGGTCGCGTCCATCGGGGACGGCCGTGTGGTCGTGCTCGGCGCTGAGCACACAGTGTACGTCCTGAGTCACAACCAGACGACGCCGTCGTGGACGCGCGTCGCCGCGCCGCCGGAGTTCGCCGGACATGTGCAGGCGGCATGCTGTGTACAAATATAGGGATGTACTCTGTACCAGCACTCCATTTGACTACAAAGTTGCCAGTCGATGGATATATAGAGCACAGTTTGTTTGGTTGTGGCTTGTCGTAAATGATCATAAATTTTTAGCTGAAACAGTATTTTTTTTTTACATAAACCAGCCAGCAGTATTTTTTCACGAACCAACAACGATACCAACCAGCCAACCAGGCTGTATCTTCCCCTTAAAAAAAAAGGCGTGGATAATCTCGATACTGCACGTTACATCATGTCATCCGGTTGAAACCGGTGGCAACTGGCGTCTAAGTTGACGAACCAGGAGGCTAATCAGCGAAGCCGATTCTGCAACCAATCGCCAAAAACATTACAAACTATTACGCCAGCAGTTGTTAACAGTAGATAGGGAATTTCATTCGATTTACAACCAAAATCATGGATTTATGGCAAATTTGAGTTGTAGGAGGCACAACGTCAAGTCGGAGGAAAAAATCGGTATGTTTTGTCCCCACGTTGTTTCGGTAGGCATCTCACCTAAAATAAAGACACGCGTCCAACATTCTATCCATGTCATGGCTTCTCATCCACTCGGTTCGCAAAATCACATCTCAGTAGCTTAGCTCGTAACTTAGCTTGTAGCTCCTCTAACTCACTAGCTCATGCCCTCGCGCGGCTGTTGAGCATGCCTTCATGACCGCGTGGTCACGGCAATGGTGGTGGCAAAGGGGAGGGCGATGACAGTAAAGGCGGTCTAGGAGACTGAGGCAGAGGCCAAGCTGGATGAGAGAGAGAGGCGCGTCATGGCGGTGTCGGTGGCAAGATAGGATACGCGTCATGCGTAGACCGCAGGTGCCCACGGCCGCAACTTGCCCTGAAAAATACTGTTCCGTCTAATTGTTGTGAGAGAAAAATACTGTTCTGGCAGGATGTGAACAGTGATTTCGTGAGTGAGGGAACCAGCCAGCCCGCTGGCAACCAACCAGCCGAACGACCTCTTGAGGGACTGTCTTCATACAAAATTTTCCCAAATCGGCAGTAGAGTTAGCCTCTGTATAGACATGAAAATGCATAGAGAGGAGGGAGAGAAGAGCCATGACTCGACTAGCTAGCCACAAATGTTAGTTACACCAAACAACCTAGCACGGCCACAAGATTCAGACGCCACTAGCAATAATTCATGTATAACCTGATGTTTTGGTTATTAAAACAAAAGTTAAATGCACCATAGGTGCATTAACTTTTGGTGGTGTGTCATCTAGGTCCATCAATTTTTAAACTGTATTTTTGGATCCATTAACTTTTGGTGGTGTGTCATCCAGGTCCACCAACTTTTAAACTATATTTTTTGGTCCATTAACTTTTGGTGGTGTGTCATCCAGGTCCATCAACTTTCAAACTGCATTTTTAAGTCCCTAAACTTTTTAACTGGTTCACCGTAGGTCCATACCCCTTCGTTTAGCGAATAGATCTGACATGGCACGCCAAATAAGTAGCCACCGTGGAGTAGCTGATGAGTCCATAGCTCCTCAAGATGTTCATGGAGACTTGTCTAGCAATAATTCAAATATAGCAACTGGTAATTCGTTAATATCCTCTGGTCTTAAATTTGGGACTATTATTTTTAAGGATAAATATATTATGGACATGAAGAAATTTACTACTGCTGGACTGTCATTAAAGATATTTTATAGTGGTGCTTTATTATTGCATGGAAAGGAGGAGAAAATAAAGCCAACAAAATACATCAGTACTAATTCTAAAGAAGTGGAGATCATCAATGAAATTTTCCCAACGTGATTAGCATCCTTGTCGTAGTATTTTATTATTTCCATGCATTAGTTTCCTATCCAGTTGTGATACATGATCTTTTATCTAGCATCTAGCTTTTAGTGCCTGCGTGTGCACTTGTGTACGTGAATCAAATTGGTGGCTACGTTTGGACGTGCCATGCATGTTAGCCGACTCAGAGACTAAGGGCCAATCGGTCCTATTTGAGCTGGTGGAGTTCGAGTTTTGTTTGGGTCAGGTGGCCTGCGTGCCTATTCCTGTGGCCTCCGGCCTTGTATCGGGTAGATTGGACTAGATTTTATTATGGAGTTTATTCCTCGTCGAGCTGCCGCTCGAGAAATCCTAGATGGTGATCCCATCAGGTTCTTCGTATTGAAGATTATCTTCGGATGGTGATCTCGTCTTGTACTCCACGGTGGCTGCTTTTTTGCCGTGCCATGTCAGATCTATTCGCTAAACGAAGGGGTATGGACCTACGATGAATCAGTTAAAAAGTTTAGGGACCCAAAAAATACAATTTAAAAGTTGATGGACCTGGATGACACACCACCAAAAGTTAATGGACCTAAAAATACAGTTTGAAAGTTGATGGACTTGCATGACACACCACCAAAAGTTAATGGACCCAAAAATACAGTTTGAAAGTTGACGGACCTAGATGACACACCGTCAAAAATTAATAGGCCTACGGTGCATTTAACTCTTAAAACAATAATATATATGTTTTTTTAAAAGGCTACTCTTCCATGCATGGCGGTGTGCTAACTACATATAGCCTACTCGGAAGAGCTTGCTGCAACTTCAGCTCCTCTTTATCCTCTCTTATTGCTAGGAATAGAGATTTAGGTAAAAAAACTCCAATAGCTTTTTAAATTATAGCTTTAAATATTGTCATTCTTTATTGGGATTTCCTGCTAACCTAAGACGGAGAGCCGGATTTGCTCGTTAGAGCGCGTAGAAGAGAAATTGTTGGAGGGTGAAAAGATATAAAGAGTGATTTTTATTTAAATGGCTCCTCAAATGATGATTTAGAGAGTGAGTTTAAAAAAATACTTTTGAAGATGATCTAAGGCGCTAACGAAGCTGCCATTATTGAAACGATGACTATAACTCTGGTTGTCAACTTATTTTGCACAATTTGGCTTACAAAGAAGACAAAGCTCCAAAGCAACATGGTTTAGTCCCTGTTGACACGGCTCCAAATGCCTTCATCTCCTTGCTATAGTCCGTGGAGGAACCAGAGTTGTTGAGGTAAAAAATAGTGGCTTTATTGGTTTCTTAGTTCATTGTAAGAGAAGGAAGAAAACGGATTCATGTTATAGTGCATGAGAAGCTGGGTTAAAGTCAAAGCCGCCTAGAGCTCTGTTAAATGGGGCCTTATGAACATATTCGGACCTCGTGTGGTTCACTCTCTAAGGGCATGTTTGGTTTAAACCCTGGAACAAACTTGCCTGGTTAAAGCTCTGCCTGTACCTTTGCCTGCGACACGCTTGGTTGTTCTCTGTGACTAGACCAGGCATCCGCTCGTCGCCCAGGCGGACAAAATCGGTTGCCTGACTGTGGCTTGGATATTGTTGCCTGGCATAATTAATGCAAGTAGCTGATAAGCCAGGCACACAAATCATGAGCACGACTGCCTTTTCCTTTTATTTTATTGTCGTCTTGTTGGCATTTCCACGTTTAACCAAAAAAATGTCCATTTATTATATCGTTTTGATGTGATTTTTTTTTAGAATTACAATGTACAACGTCGACATCCACAAAACGCACGCACACTTATCCCTATGAACACACGACGCTAACTCTACCCCTATAAGCACATCCGAAGGATTTGGCAGCAGATCTCGAGATTCTGAAGTCACCACGGGTGCCTCATTTGTCGACAGAGAGACGCCGCCACCACGAAAAGCATAGCGCCGTTAAATCCTGAAATAAATCCAGGAAAATACGAGCACTCGTGCCAAGTCGAGGACTTGAACCCGGGTGGACAGGTTCCACCACAAGGAATCCAACCAACAGTTCGCTTGATGTGAAATTATTTACGTGGATATATCAATACAAAAGTAATATATCAATACAAAAGTACTTATTGCACATACATAAGTTTTTAAAAACACACACAGAGAGAGTTGTCATTAGAAATATTTAATCAAAATTTTACTAATAGACAAAAATCATTTATTTGGTAAACACACTATTAATGGGGTTACGTAATCATGTATAGACGATGCAGACATGATTTATCTTCTTATTAGCATTCCCAGGCACAGGCTTCAAACCAAATACGCTTTCTCTAAGTTTGCCTCACCAGACAAAAAGTATCAACTTTTCAGGCAAGTCTCAAACAACATTCACTACTACAGAAAGGTCATCAGTGCCGATTCCAAACCCCCTTCAACAACGATTATGGCCGCCGTTGGTGAAAGTCAATGGTGATAGTCGTTGTTGATCACCGCCAGTTTCGACAAGGACATGGTTTGTGAGGCTAGTCATTGCGTTCCTCTTATTGGCGGCCTCCTCCACCTCGAAGAGCCTGCGGGGATGCTATTGTCATATGTAGTAGGATGCTAGAGCTTGCTTAGTAATGAGATGACTGAAGAGAAAAATAATCCCACAAAGATCGATCACTGAAGTGTGAAAGCATTACCCTTGTCTTTGGATCTGGTAGTGATACGGCGTGAGGCCGATAATGGTTGACACAAATTGCAAACAATGAAGAGGAACAATGCGCCGGGGCATGCGTGAGGCTGACAACGAACGTTTTTCTTTTGATAGCCATTGCGGATGGCCTTGATGTTTAGACCGATCGGTGGCCTTAGGGTTCGATCTAGATGAACAATCTAGATTTAATACACACTAATGGGCAACATAGATTCCAAACAACAAAAAGTACCATACGCTAAGGAAGACGTGCCTGTCACCGTACTTTATAGTGATGCATAGAGACAAGTAAACGAGCATCAACCATCACCAGATAAAATGGCGATAGGAGTTGTAACACCACCGTATTGTACTGTGCGTGCCAAAGAAATAAATCAATTTAAAAACAAATTCACTAGAACAAACCGGCGGTGAAACTTCTGATCACTACTGGCTCGGCGGATGATGCAGTGTTCTGATCCGTTGAGATTTCACCGCCGGATCATAAAGCGAATCGACGGTAGAATAGACTTCCACACTGGCTCTAGCGGGCGGTGCGTCCTACCATTTTCAACCTGGCGGTGAAGCTTCTTA